TTCATAAAAATTGCCTCTCATAGCCTATTGCAAATAAGTATAATCTTATATAAATCAAAGCACTAGTACGTAAGCATCCCAAGGACAGAGATTTTGTCTGTGTTGGTTCACAGCTATATCCACAGAGTTAAGGCAAGTGCCTAGCAAACAGTGGAGGCTCAGTAACTATCTCTTGAGTGAACTGAATGAATGAAAACCTTGACTTTTCCTTTAAATCGGATTAACATTAAAAAGCAACACAAAACAGCACGCTTTCCTACTTTCTTGATGGATTTCTGACCCTAAGAATGCTGTTAGGTGAGTAAGAAGGGCCGGAGAACAGCATGTGAAGGGCACAGTGCAAATGTGTACATTTAGCAAGTATTTCAGAAATCTCGGATTTGGTGAAGTATTCGCTGGTGTGATGTCACACTTAACTCAGATTCATGTGTCACATTTGAATTACAAATATTCTGTTCAGCATCTCCCTAACTGGAGTGACTATGCTTATACTTTTTTCTATACAGGGTTTTCATAAATCTTTGATCCGTGACCAAGTGTCACAGAGAACTTTTCTTAAGTGAAACTCTCTGCAAACAGTTAGCTTATATTTCAGTTTCTACTTAGCTTTGAGTAAAGTATTTTGGCTAAAATAATGTTTTGCACAGTCCATTTCACAGGTGAGGTTGATTATATAGCATTACTCCTAATTTAGCTTACAACCTCAGATAGTGGTTTAAAATATATAACACTCATAACTATTCTAACTTAATAAAATTTAAATACATATATTTTCTACTCCTGTAGCAAACATTTTTTAAAAACAGAAAAAAGTCCCTTTTTACAGCATAGGCTAGCTGATAATTTGAATAGAAAGCCACTCATTTCTATACATGAAATTTTCCTGATTGTCTTTGTAATAAAAACTGAGAGGATATTCATCATCCCTGGCTGAGCTGCATTGAATTCTACTCTTTTATAAATGTAATAAAACAGCAAACAACATCAAAATACATTATTAATTAGGCATGATTTCTTAAAATGGTTTACATCATCTCATTTAACTTCAGAGCTTGCAGACGTTAATAGTAAGTCACCACAAAGCTACGACTGATTTATAATGCACATTACCACATCAAGCCTGGCCCAAGGACTCTGGGCCCAGAAGGAAAAAGAGCCACGGCAGAAATATGCTGAAAACATATCTGTATTCACAGGAAACAATTAGGCTTAACGTAATTAACGTGAACATTCAGGTTCATTTTATTCAAAGGTAATGTTCTGCCCTTGAAGTTCCATGTAGAAAAGGGTCCTTGGAGTTAGAACACTGTGGAAGGTGATATAATTTCACTTGGCCCTTGGCTATGTAAGGTAAACATTTTACATTATTGCACAGTAACAAAAATGTACAGCCATAGATAACACAGGATCTGATCAACGTTAACACACCTGGTGTTTAAGGCTTACCCACATTGGAAAGCAATCATTTCCAGGATGGAGATCAAATATCTTAACACAGTGTCACCTGTCTGAGTTACTAGAAAAGATCTCATTTAAAAATCTGTTCATAGAACGTGCTTTCGCATTTTTCAGCCTCTTTTCACTTGTGTGCTAGACGGAGGCACTTTAAGATCTATTAACTGTAGTTTCAAGAGTACAAGACATTGAGTTTCTTCAGTCATTGGTAAATATGGCAAGGATTTAAAATGAAATTAGATTAAAAAGAAAGTAAACAAATCATTGAATCAGAAAATTTAGCCAAATCTTGTAAAAATCACTGCTCTCTGATTTAAAGATCCCCCCCCCCGCAAAAAAAATTAGTAGCTATCACTCATCGATGGCCAGATGAGTAAACACTACTACACCATTCTGATGTTAAGGTATAACGGTTTTGCTGTTTGGGCTTGTAAACGTTTTAAAACATTGGCGAATTAAGTACTTTGAATTATGTTTCGAGTAATGTTTCAAAGTATATTATACACGGGTTTCAAATAGAAAAACTAAAAGGTGGAATAAAACATTTTGGAAGATTTAATAAAGTGTATAAAAATTAAAGGACTAAAAAACCCACTTCATTTTAAATGTGTAAAAATAAATCGCATCCATTCGTGGGAATCCAATGACTTTTTCCTTTTCTTTCTTTCTTTTTTGGTTTTAGTTACTTGGTACGTACTGCACCCTCCACAACACGTTGGAAATTAGGTCCTGGTACACACTAAGGAATATCCAGCCAGGTAAATACATCAGGGTGATGAGGCCCATGAAATTGAGCGGGTAGTGAGAATAGTCCCAGGAACAAGCCCCGCATGTGCGGAGTCCCAGACCCCAGGAAAGCTCCCACACGTAGATGAAGATCACGTAGATGGGCACCCGCTTCCAAGTGCCCCAACCGCGGCTGTAGTGGAGATGGAAGTAGAGTTTTTCCACCACGAAACTGCAGCTGCCATACATAAAGAAGGACCAGAGCGACGTGTGGCCGCTGGTTGTTCCGTCCCCCTGCCCCAGTACGTTGAAGAAGAAGGTGAAGAAGATCTCATCCAGAAAGCCGTGCATTCCGAAGAAAAGAAAGCGGGGTAGGTCGGGCAGCCCCTGGCTGGGGGCTCCCCCGGCGCCCCTGGG